AGATTTCTAGCTTGCTAGTAAATCAACAAATATTTTTAAATTACTAATTTAGATCCTTTTTTTCTAAAGATATGTGTACACACATACACACCCACTTCTTCCTCATTAATCCTCTTACTCCTAAATCACATCTTTGTTACTATACTTACATATAACATGCAGTACATATCAAAACCATGCAAATCTGTTATATAGGCTCAGAAAAAGGAAGTGTGAAAAATATATATAGGCTAAAATGTAATCATGAGGCAGAATTCCAAAAATAGGGCTTCTAATCATATTTTTTAAGATTTGTTAAATTAGGATTTGTTAAGCAAAGCTCACTGGTACTGAATGGTAACCAGCAGTAACTCAGAAGACCACAAGGTAAACTGGCAAAAACCAGTTTATAACTCATAGGCCTGGAGGAAATACACAATACGCCTGCAGGGGGCTACACAGGGAAGCCAAGACAGGTTGCAGGCAGAGGGTGGCAGGACCCAGAGTGCATGCCTTTGTTAGGAACACCATGTGGAGTGCCCTGGGGTTCTCAATTGAGGTCCAGATTGTTATATTCAGAGGAAAATCAGCAAGGTTTTGGTAAACTCTCCAGCAATCTTATATACACGGCATACAAAATAAAGACCCTGAGGTACACAACACTCTATAGTGCTCAAGGGCTTCTTGAGAAGTCATATCAAACCTTACACATTTAATTGTGACACTGTAAGTTGGTGTCTAGTGTGTGCACTGGAGGGAGAATGGAGTTCAAGTCAAGGCTCCTTAGCTACACAAGACAAATGCCAATGCAGAAACATCATAAAGTATTTTAGCTAAACTCTTACAAATACTTCCACTAGATCTTTACTGCAACCATCATAATGTCCCTGTAGGTACAACAGAAAGAAGAAAACATAAATTCTGGGGAAACTCTACACATTATATAAGGTTAAAGGTCCCTGGGTAAAGGACTTCTAGTAATATTCCAGTGCATTACAAATTGTTACCCACAACGGTGAATGAGGTAGGAAACATTAACATTCAAGGCATGTTAACACCTCATTCATTACACATCACTATTAATACACTTATGTTCATTCATTTTATCAATGAGAATATATTAAGTCCAAACATAGTCTAAACATAGCATTACAAACCCACTATATTACCACTAGTCAAAATACACATTACAATTATTTATAAAATTATGAAATGAATTAAGATTTTAAGCCAATAATACTTTGTTTCAAAAAAATCACAAATACTGTCATAATAATAACTTTTTAAAAAGGATACAGTGTAAGCAATTACATTTATTCAAACATCCATACCCTTGGTATTTTGATTCCTACTAAAAAGCCACGTAACTTTATTTACTGGGTTCTCTGAAATAAGTATTTGGATTTACTGATATTTGAAAGTGTTGACTTATTACTTTCTACTGTGAATTTGCTAATATTTTAGATTTAATTTTGATTAGCTACTTTGCTAGATTTTCTAGATCTTTAAAGTCACTTTAAAGGGTAAATTCTGTGGGGTTTTCTAAAGTGTGTATTTTGGACAAAAATCTTTCTTCATTTATAACAAATAAAGAATTTATCTCCAGTATGCATTCTCTGATATTGAGAAAGGCTGTAGGTCCTGCAAAAGGGTTTGCCATATTCTTTAAATTTTTAAGTTTCTCTCCAATATAAATTCTCATTTATCAATTAAAATATAAATGCTAAATACAGGTATTGCTGCATTTTTGACATTTGCATGATTTCTCTCCACTATGAACTCTCTGAAGTTCAGTGAGATTTGTTTAATGGTTAAAAATTTTGCCACATTCTTTTTATTAGTATTGTTTCAGTCTAGCATGATTTATGTGATATGGACTAAGGTTCCAACACTGGGGGGAAGGCTTTTCCACGTTCTCTACACTTCCTTCTGGTGTGAATTCTATATACTTAGTGAAATTTGGGCAACAGCTAAAGGTTTTTCCACATTATTTACATTTGCATTGCTTCTATCCAGTTTGGATTCCCCAATACTGAGTAAAGCTCAGAGGTTAGCAGAGGTTAAAGGCTTTGTCACACACTTTACATTTGTAAAGCTTTTCTCAGGTATGCATTCTCATATGTTTGGTAAGGTTAAAGCAGATGATAGAGGATCTGTCACATTCTGAACATTTACAAGGTTTCTCTCTAGTAAGAGACCTCTGATATCTGGTAACAGTTGAACAGTGCTTAAAGGGTCTGCTACATTCTCTACATTTATAAGGCCTTCCTCCAGTGTGAAATCTCTGAAGTTAAGTAAGTTCTGATCACTGGGTAAAGGCCTTGGCATATTCTCTACATTTATAAAACTTCTTTCCAGATGGATTCTCTGATGTTGAGTAAAGCTGGAATACCAGTTAAAGGCTTTGCCACATTCTCCACATTTATAAGGCTTCTCCCCAGTATGAATTCTATAATGGTTGGTTAGGTCTGAACACCGGTAAAAGGCTTTGTCACATTCTCTGCATTTATAAGGCTTCTCCCCTGTGTGAGTTCTCTGATGTCGAGTCAGGCTTGAATACCAGTTAAAGGATTTGCCACATTCTTCACATGTATAAGCCTTATCTCTACTATGGTTTCTCTCATGTTTCATAAGGCTTGTACAATCATTAAAAGTTCTGCCACATTCTCTACACTTATAAGGCCTCCCTACAGAATGAATTCTCTGATGTTCAGTAAGTTTTGAGCACCTGGTAAAGGCTTTGCCACATTCTCTACATTTATAAGGCTTCTCTCCAGTATGAATTCTCTGATGAAGGGTAAGGCTTGAACTCCGGATAAAGGCTTTGTCACATTCTCCACATTTATAAGGCTTCTCTCCAGTATGAAGTCTCTGATGAGTAGTCAGGTCTGAACACCGGTTAAAGGCTTTGCCACATTCTCTGCATTCATAAGGTTTCTCTCCAGTATGAATTTTCTGATGTCGAGTAAGGCTTGAATACCAGTTAAAGGCTTTGCCACATTCTCTACATTTATAAGGCTTATCTCCAGTATGAATACTCTGATGTCGAATCAGGCTTGAAAACACGTTAAAGGTTTTGCCACATACTCTACATTTATAAGGCTTCTCTCCAGAATGAATTCTCTGATGACTGGTAAGGCTCGAATACCACTTGTAGGCTTTGCCACATTCTCTGCATTTATAAGGCTTCTCTCCAGGATGAAGCCTCTGATATTCATTAAGTTTTAAGCACTTGTTAAAGGTTTTGCCACAATCTCTGCATTTATAAAGCTTCTCTCCAGTATGAAGTGTCTGCTGTTCAATAACATGGGAATGCAACTTAAAAACCTTATCACATTCTTTACATTTGTAAGGCTTCTCTCTAGCACGGATTTTCTTATGCATATATACATTGGATAATTGACTAAGGACTCTCACACACTGGTTACACCTGAAAGGCGCCTCCCCAATATCAGTATTTTTAAGTTCAGTAAGATTTAATGACTGATCGAAAGAGTTGGCATATTCATTACATTTGTCTGTCATCTCCACACCATGAATATCCTGAGGTATAACAATATTTGAGCTTTTATCAAAGACATTCGGACACTTATCATTTCTCTGTGGAAGCTGAGTTGTCTGATGTTTATCAGAATTTGACTCTTGTTTAATGTTTTTCCAAGATTCATTGCACTGGAGACTTCTCTCTTCATTATGCGTACTCTGGTAATCATTGAAGACAGAAAGGCCTTTAGTGATGGCATTTAACATTGCACATGCAAAGCTGTTTCCAATTATCTATTCTGCTATCTACTGAACCATGATGGTTGAATATAAACCCTAATAAACTCATAAAAATTAAAGGCTCTGGAATAAGAAAGAATATGTATCTGTGAAAGAATAATGCAAACTTGCTTAAGGATTTACAAATTCATACTTATAATTTCTATCTTTATTTTTCAATCTGATTTTTTAGAAATATTTTACTTAACCAAACCCTACATTAAATCATCCAATGGATTATCTGCACAGTAGACTAGCTTACTTCTCTGATATTACAAATTTAATTTCAGAGAATATGTACGAATATGTACTTGTTAAAAAATATCTGGACTTTACGTTCAGAAACACATTGTTGTGCCAATATAAGTAACTTAGAGTAGAAAATTTTAATATGTTTTATATCTAAAAAGTCTTTTGCCAACAAGATTTTTATATGGGTAATTGCTCCATTTGCTTATATCCCTCATAACATCCTTTTTTCTCTTCATATTTCCCTGCCCATTACAAAACTTTCATTAAGTGTAAATTCTCAATGCCACATCTTCGGTATCTTACCTGGAACATTTCGTGGAATGAATCTTCTATGCCTGACTTTGGCAACAAGTCCTGGGTGGCTTGAGAAGATATAGCTGAAATATACCAAATTAATTATCAAACACTACACTCAGGTAAATATTCTTTAAATTCTAATGTACAGAAAAGATTTCAGATGGCAGAATAGGAAGCACCAAAACATTCTTCCTCTGTGGAGATGTTAAGTTACCAATAATTACTGAACCAATTGCCTTCTAGAGTACTTCAGAAGCCAGCTCAAGACCACTACAGCCCCAGAAAGCACAAAACAAAAATATCATATCAAAGAGAGAAGAAAAGTTGCTTGCACTTGCTCACCCTCCCTAACCCACTACAAAATGACTGTGGGATAACTCCAAATTCTCAGTTTCTTCTCAGAAGAGAAATGAGTGTACTGTGAGTTTCATGGTCTTTTGTTGTTGTTGTTGTTTTTGCGACCGCCTGAAAGACTTGTTTCTATTTTGAATGACACAGATTGCTAAGGAAATGGCAATACGCTGTGAATGCATTGTGGCAGCTGTGAAGAAAAAAAAAGTAAGTGTTCAGGCACCAGAGGGACGACAGTACTGAAGACATCCATCAGGGATAGGAAGACATCATGAGCTCTATATATAACTGGGAAATTACACAAAACACACATACAACCTTCAGGTCAAGATGGTGGTGAAAATAAATGTGGTACCGGCATTCTCCCACAACCATGTAAAAAATACAACTAAGGCTTCTCTCCAGTATGGAACTACAGTAAAACCATCATTCAGAACCACCTGACACCTAGTTGAACAGAAGTCCTACAATTAAGGTTATAAAGAAGAAGCCTCATTGAGACTGATAGGAGGTGCAAAGATGTTGAATGGACTGGTCCCACAGGGCGGAGAAAAATCATGAGGGACAATTCAGCTACATAGGTCAACTCTGAGGAGCTAGGGGACCCAGCCCATACTAGGCCCACCAGCCCAGGTTTCCAAGGTCGGGAATAGATGTCACCATTAATTCTGGCTATAAAACCAGTGGGGATTGTGGCTGAGTATGAAGGATAGCTGCTGGCGTCCAAGGCAGTTCCTCTTAAAGGGCCCGCAAATGGACATACTCAGACTCACTCCCTCTGAGTCCCAGTGCTGAAGGAGCAATTTGAAATCAGCCAGGTATATACAGGGAGGAACTGAAGTCTCTGGCATTAAGATGAGAGCTGAAGAAGCTTTCTCCCAGACAGAAGTTTTGGTAGAAGCCACTGTTCCTTTTCTGAGTCCTTTCCCCACAGAGGAAGTAGGCAGGTGCCATATCTAAAACTCCATCTACCTGGCTCACACTGCTTATCCCACCCTGGAGATTTCCTGAGACCCCACACCATCAACTTGTAGGCCCACCCAAGCTGTTTTCACTGGCTTTTCAATATAAACAGGCTGGCATACACTCAAGCAGCATCCTGGCTTCAGTGTGTGCCATACCTCTCGCTAAGTGTTCCCAGGCTCAGCAATAGTGGCAGCTGGCCTTGGTTCATAGCTTGGTCTTGCCTTAGAAACTCCAACCTCAGCATAATTAACAGACATATGCAGATCCCTTTGTAGATCATGCCAGGTGATCCCAGGTAGAACACAGGCACTGGTTGTGGTTGACTTTGCCCTGCACTTCATGGAGGCCCCAAGCCAGCACACCTGGCGGACACCTTCAGAGGATGTCGAAGCACCAACCAAACCACCTCCACAAGCAATAAGCTCAAGGGGCAGACTCAGCAGGCACCAGACCACAATGAAGTAAGTCCTGCTCCACCAGGTGAGCCCTGCACAGCTAATCCTCCACAATGGTCACAGCAAGTTTTTTCAACTGATGAGCCTTGGCCTAAATCCCTCCCATTGAAATTCCAACAGCAATCAAGGCTCAACTACAACAGGAGAGTATACATAGCCCATACGGTGGGGCGCACTGGAATGCTCAGCTCAGGTAGACAGGAGGCTATGCCACTGGAGGCTACTAGACATCTACTACATTAGGCCACTCTTCCAAGCCTGAGAGATGTAGCAGCTCGACCTAATACATGGAAACAAACACAGAGATCTTTCCAAAATGAGGAGACAAAACATGTCCAAAATGAAAGAACAGAACAAAACTGCAGAAAAATACTAAACAAAACCGAAACAAACAAAAAAAAAAAACGAAACAAGCAATCTACTAGATGCAGAGTTCAAAACTTAGAGGAATGCTCAATGAACTTAGGGGAAGAGTAGATGAACATAGAACTTCCAAAGCTTAAAAAAAAAAGAACATGCAAACCCCCAAAAAAGAACCACTCATAAATGAAGCACATACTAATTAAAATGAAGAAAAATTTACAAGGAAATCAATAGTACAGTAGATGAAACCAATAATCAAAACAGCATAAAGAAAAAAGCATCCAAAAAAATTATGACAGTGTAAGGTACCTCTGGGACAACTTCAAGTATATCAACATTCACATCATGTGGATGCCAAAATAAACGAGAAAGCAGAACAGAAAGAGACTCATACATACAGATAACATTGTGATGGTTGAAAGTAGGAAAGCTGGTTTGGAGTTGGATGATAAAAATAAAGGAATTAAGAAGTACAAATTGGTAGTAATAGAATAGTCATGGGGCTATAAAGTGTAGCACATGGAATATAGTCAATAATATTCTAATAATTATGCATGTTGTCAGATGGGTATGACATTTATTAGGATGATCACTTAAGTTATATAATACTGGGTGGACACCTGAAACTAATATGCAGTATGCCACCTGTATTTGAAAAAATAACACACACACACACACACACACACACACACACTGATTACATTTTCCAGAATAGGTTGGACAGGCCATTAAAAATCTACCACAACTCATTGTTCTTTGTGTTCTCCTATACAAAGCAAGTTCGTAAAGAAATGAATGGCATCTGCTTCTCATGACCTTAAATAGCAACAAAAGATCACAAGGCATACAAAGAAACAGAAAAACATAGTCCAATGTTAATGAAGATCTATTAATTACCTGACAAAGAATTCAAAATAACCATCGTAAAGGGGCTCAATTGGAAAATAGAGCAAAAAACATAGAAAGCTAAGTATTACCATCAAACCTATGCATGACAAAACTAAAAATGCATCTAAAAATATAAAAGAGAACCAAACAGAGATTGGGAACTGAAGAATACAGTATCTGAATTTAAATAGAAACATCAGCAACAGACTTGATCATAAAGAAGAAAGAATAAGATAACTTGGGCATCTATCCCCAGTGTTCCTGGGATGTGGGAACCAAATTCTAGTATTTCAACCACTTCTCTCACAAACTACTTACATGAGGCAGAAAACAGACTTAAAAACTGGTTTAACATAGAATTCCTCAGCAAGATTCACAAAGTTTCCCACATTCCCCAACGAAATGCAAGAGCAGTCAGGTCATACTACCCTCACACTAATTGAAATAAAGAATAATTTAAAAGGAAATTATTCTGTTTGAAGAGGACTTTGGCTCTCACTGCAAATGTGATGGAAGATCAAGGAGCAGAAGGAGAATCCTTAGATGACAGTCATCTAAGTGTTGGAGAGGATCTGTCCCTCTAACACAGAAACAGAAATAAACCTCATCCTCTAAAAAATCATTTCTCTTAAAACAGATCTTTCCAGACCATAGTTTAAGGTCTGATTTCCTCTGACCTTTGGCCTCCCACCTGGGTCAGCTGTTTCCTTCATTCCCACCTACCTGGGTGGATGACTACAGTCTTTTCTTCCTCCAACTCCCAGGTCTCCTCCATTTGCTCCAAAAAAGTGAGGTCTGGCTTAGACACAGTAAGACCTGTTTATGAGAAAAAAGGAACATGAGTTTTAATGGAGATTCTCCAATTTCCAATCTGGTCCCTGTGCTCAAGAAGTGACAGGATAGGACATTTTAGAATACCAGAGTATTCCAGAAAATTATCCCCCCAAATATTATTTTTTGACAGCACCTTTACCATACCAGAGACTACATTTAAAGTTTTCCAATCCTGATTTCCACTTGCAAGTACAATAGCAAAACACCAATTTCTTTCCTTGAGAACACAGATCTGAAATTCTATCATAAAAAGCAGATGCTACAAGCAGACACTGTACTAATGAAGAAAACAAAACCCTATGGGTGGAGTACAAAATCTTGAAAGTGATCCTCACCCAGGAATACCAGGTTCCTGTAGTTCTGCAACATCACGTCCCTGAACAGTTTCCGCTGAGCTGGGTCCAGGCACGCCCACTCCTCCTGAGAGAATTCTATGGCCACATCACTGAAGGTCAACTGACCCTGAAATTTAAAAAAAAAAAAATTACTCAAGTGGCCATGGGTAGAGCTCATCATGGGACCCAATATGAAAACAGAGTTAATGGAACCAGTTTTGACCTAAAAGTATCCTGAATTATCCAATAAGATCATTTTGACACTAACATTCTCTAAAGTATTTTGAGAAAGGAGGATGACATATGATCCACAAAACCACTGTAGAGCTCTACTTTTCTGGAAGATAAATTTTAAAAATAAAGGCAACAACATAGGCATATCCTATGTTAAGTGCTATATTTGAATCATAGAGGATCAAGTATATATATTTCTTAGGTTGAGAATTCATTCTCAGTGAAAACTAAACAGTACTTCTAAAATTTTAATATGTACATCAATAAAGTGGAGATGGAAACAAATGCAGATTCTTATTCAGAAGTTCTAAGGAGGGGCCTGAGTTTCCAACGTTTAACCAGCTCACTTTTAACTACGGACGCCAATGTGTCTGAACCATGAACTGCTCCTTTAGATAGCACCGAGTAAACAAACACAGGAAAAAAATTCGTATATAGGATTTTGACTGAAGAGTTTTATGGAATTTACAGGCCTCATAAATTAGTAAGCCAACCAACCACAGTTCTTCTCTAAAATTTAGTATGTACTAGATATTATTCTAACAGTTTTCTATAAATTAATTAACAAAACTCATTAAGAAATCAGAGAACAATGATATTATTCTTCCTTTTTCATGAGACTGTTTTGTAAAACATCCAGCAAATGATAGAGGCGGGGTATTATTCTAAACTTTACCTAGTATGTGTCTGTGATGCCTGCGAAATACAATAAAAGTTTACAGATCTGAGGCCTGACTGATAAAAGACTCCAACTGCGAAGCTTCTATCGCCGGGCAAACAAAAATGAGAGCGTTTATTTTGCAATGCAACCTACAAGCAAAGAGAGACTAAAAAGACAAAAGAGTTTCCAGATGAATGTGATTGTTTATGCACATTTTTCAAAAGATTTCTGTGAGGCCTGGCCAGTGTGGTTCATTGGTTGAATGTCTATCTATGAACCAGGAGATCACAGTTCGACTCATAGTCGATTGCAGGGGTTGCGGGCTTGAACCCCATAAATCTTACAAATTTATGAGACTGGGGGGCATGTAGGAGGCAGCCAATCAATGATTCTCTCTCATCATTGACGTTTCTCTCTCTCTCTCTCCCTCTTCCTACCTCTCTGAAATCAATACAAATATATTTTTAAAAAAATATTTCTGAGAGACTGTTACTGGGGATAAAGAAAAAATATTAACTCTATAATTCGAGAACATCTGCACCAAGTGAAAGTCAGGTTTAAAGGAGTTGACATCAAGTAACTGAAGCACATGGAAGGACACATCATCACCAACATTAGTTTTATCAAAATTTCAATCCACATATACCTTCCATATTTTATAAATCTAACAGTGCATTTAAAAAGTAAGACTTTCTTGCCAATGTAGTGAGCAAGTCTCTTCTAATTATTTTTCTTTTTCAGAACTTTCTGATCTACTCTGAGCCACTAAGGCCATCCTGATTAAATGTAGATTTTTCTCAATCCTGTTCTACAGAACTGATGTTGTAGCCATACGAAATCTAAAATGTACATTTCCCATCTTCACACCCCATCTCAATAGAAATCCTGGTTATCAATGCCTTCCCATGTCACAAAGAAAATATTTTCAAAAGTTGAAGGTGTAGGGAGAAGAAAGTGGACATCTGTAATACTTTCAACAATCAAGATAATTTTTGTTAAGTTGAAGGCGTAGGGGTTCAGAACAAGGCACCCTAAATTATGTTTCAATGGTGTGTGGATTATTTTGAGCTAAAGGCACCAAAACCGTGTGGGTTCAAAAGAAGCTTCTGGTCTCCCCTTTAACTACCTAGAAGAATTTAAATTAGGAGCCTGGCCTGTGATACGTGTTAAAACCAAAAATGACTATTTACCTATCTAGGTGGTAGGCAAACTAATACTTCCTGAACATGTGATCTCCGGTCAAAGATCTTCTGAAGTTTCAAAGTGCATTACCTCATCCCAGGCTCAGAATGCCTTATATATCAAATTTCCCTTTCAGTCTCTGAACCTGTGAATGAGAGGTCTCTGACTCTCTCATGTATGTGGAGCTCCCATACATATTTTACCTGTTAAACTTCAATTTTCCCTTGCAATCTGTCTCATGTCTATCTGATGAGACCAACCAAAAGAACCTTGAAGGTAGAAGAAAGTATCTTCCTCCCCCACAAAGGTCATTAATTTATGGCAAGAGTTCATCATGCCCTATAGGGGATGTGGATGGAGACAATGGACAGAAAACTGTGCGACAAAAGAAAAAAATATTGCCCAGCCGGTGTGGCTCAATAGTTGAACTTCAGCCTATGAGCCAGGAGGTCATAGTTCGATCCCCAGTCAGGGCACATGCCCGGGTTGTGGGCTCAGTCCTCAGTGTTGGGCATGCAGTAGGTAGCCAATCAATGATTCTCACTCATCATTGATGTTTCTCTCTCTTTTTCTCTGAAATCAATAACAATATATTTTTTTAAAAAAGAGAAAAATAGCCCTGGCTGGTTTGGCTCAATGAATAGAGCATCAGCCGGTGTACTGAAGGGTCCTGGATTCGATTCCGGACAAGGGCACATGTCCGGGTTGCAGGCTCAATCCCCAGTAGGGGGCGTGCAGGAGATAGCCAATCAATGATACTATCTCATCATTGATGTTTCTATCTCTCTCTCTCTCCCCCTCTCCCTTTCTCTCTGAAATAAATAAAAATATATTTTAAAAAATAAAAATTTAAATAAATAAATAAGAGAAAAATATTCTAGAGACAGTATAGAAATGTCACCACCCCTCAAACCCCATTCAAAATCCCAGAGAGAGCTGACAATATCTCCCTCCTAAAGGCCTGCATCCTTATAGATGTCGAAACTGCTGATGCACATGAGCAGTTGAAGGACCTTCCTGGGGTGGCTCCAGTGAACTACACCATCATTATTTCCCCCACAGCACAGGCGCTAACAACCAGGCAGCCCAGTTGGAAAAGGAAATCACCCCCCCTGAAACGGAAATTTCCACCAACAGGCCTTTTACAAAAGGCGCACTTTGTCCCAAGCTTATTAAAGCAGACGATCAGAGCCATCCTTGAGTTGGTTCCGAGGACCTTCCAGTCTTCTGTGTGTTGTTCTTTATGCTCAGCATAAGCCTAACAAAATTTACCCAGAAGTTTCTCTGAAGGTTCCTCTTGATTTGTATCTTGGGAAACTGAAAAATTTCATATGCCAGTAGCATTTTAAAGAGGTAACAGACAATCCTAAGGAAAACTAAGTAAGTACTTGAAAACCACCTCACTAGGAAGGACCATCAAAATAGAGAAGTAAAGGTTTGCAGCTTCTAAACCCACGAACTTTAGAAAGAAATGCAAACACAACTGACCCAAGACAGAGCGTTTACCTGAGGAGCAGCCATGTTGTCCTTCTTCTCCTCCTGCTCCGGGTGGTTTCCTCAGGCGAGATTATGTTGCAGAATCACATCTGCGGCTTGAGGATATGCCGTGCTTCCACCACACTCACAGGCAGAAGGAACTTGAAATGATGAAAAATTCCACACTCCCTTGTCCTTTGTCACAGGAGAGATTCAGAAACAATGAGATCCTACATGAAGACCAAACTGAGTTTTTTCTCTACTTTCTTTCCTGCGCTCTACCCTCCAACACGTGCACAAATTCTGACACTGCAATGACAATGTGGACTGTTCTGCTCCTCCCAAACCAAAGAGAGCACCCAGTTACCTCCCCTGGACCAAAGCCAGCTCCTCACAAATGCACTGGGGCAGCGAGCCCTTCTGCTAAACATTGGCCTCAATTTTGAATCACCTGGAGCACAACATTAAAAACATGATGTTTGGCCAGACTCCCGGCCACCTCTCCCCGACCTGCTCTGCTCCCCAGCCTCTCCCAGACTCCACAAGTCCGCACCTCCACCTGCACTTCAGCCACGGATCTATTCCAATAGTTGGGACTCACAACACAGGGAACAAGACTTTTCACGTTGTGGCTTTTGAATGTATGTTTACAAACCAAACCTTCACTCTCGAGAAGGGCCTAATAGTTCCCCGGGAGAATGTCCCAACGATTGCTGATTGCTCCAGCGTGATTGAAGGGGCCAGTCAGAGCCGAAATGCCTTGCTGAACGGGGACACCAAGAATTATGATTGGGATTCTGGCTACACATGCCATCAGCTGGGAAGTGGGGCCATTGTGGTTCAGCTGGCACAGCCGTACATGATTGGGTCGACACGGCTGTTACTTTGGGATGTGACGATGGAAGCTACAGCTACTACATTGAGGTTTCCACCTCCCAGCCACAGTGGACCGTGATGGCCGACAGAACTGAAGTCCCCTGCAAGTCTTGGCAGCCGGTAACTTTTGAAAGACAGCCTGCCTCCTTCATCCAAATGGTTGGAACACACAACACAGCAAATGAGGTGTTCCACTGTGTCCACTCTGAGTGTCCAGGGCAGCAGAGCAGCCTGGGAGGCAAACAGCGAGGAGCCGGGGACAGGGGACACCAGCCCGGCCAGTTAGCTGCTTGAGCCCCGCGCCCTGCAGGCCCCCAGCGGCAGCTCACTGCCCTCCAGCCGGGCTCCACCTCTCACTCATTCGGCGGCAGCACCAGTAAAGGGCTCTGACCGGCAGTGGCTTGGGGGCCCTGTGCGGCAGGACCGTGTCGCTGCCCCGCCCCTTCCTGCGGGGAGCAGGTTTGCTCCCAAGTCCACCCGCTTTGTCCTCAATTTGTTCCGATCAGGCTGGTCTCCAGGGGAGAAGACGGTCTTCAGTCCTCCCCAGCCCAGTGTTCACACCCTGCCTCCCTAATCTAACCCAGGCCCGGAGCAGGCGGAGCAGGCGCGTGTGGGCGGGCAGGGGGCAGGCAGGCCTCTCGAACCGGGGTGCCCTTTGGGAAATGGGTTTCCTTCGTGTCTACTCAAGAACACGTCACCCTGGCAACTGGTTTTTTACTTCTTTTAGTTACTCCCGTTTGCTGAATCCTAGGTGTTCGGGTCTTTTTGAAATGCTCAAACGGCACTTGTTTTAACCCGTTGACACTAACTATCCTTCCTTATTTTTGAACGGTTAAGCGTGGGGTGGATAAGCTGGGGTGGAGTGAGAAGCACGCTGGCCCCCCAGGGCTCACAAGGACACTCCGCAGAGGACGTTCAGCAAAACACAGGCACTGAGCAGTTGTGGCACTGAGCAGCCTGGCACTGAGCAGCTGTGGCACTGAGCAGCAGGCACTGAGCAGCAGGTACTGAGCAGCAGGTACTGAGCAGCCTGCCCCTGAGCAGCAGGTACTGAGCAGCAGGTACTGAGCAGCCTGCCCCTGAGCAGCAGGTACTGAGCAGCAGGTACTGAGCAGCCTGCCCCTGAGCAGCAGGTACTGAGCAGCAGGTACTGAGCAGCCTGCCCCTGAGCAGCAGGTACTGAGCAGCAGGTACTGAGCAGCCTGCCCCTGAGCAGCAGGTACTGAGCAGCAGGTACTGAGCAGCCTGCCCCTGAGCAGCAGGTACTGAGCAGCAGGTACTGAGCAGCCTGCCCCTGAGCAGCAGGTACTGAGCAGCAGGTACTGAGCAGCCTGCCCCTGAGCAGCAGGTACTGAGCAGCAGGTACTGAGCAGCCTGCCCCTGAGCAGCAGGTACTGAGCAGCAGGTACTGAGCAGCCTGCCCCTGAGCAGCAGGTACTGAGCAGCAGGTACTGAGCAGCCTGCCCCTGAGCAGCAGGTACTGAGCAGCAGGTACTGAGCAGCCTGCCCCTGAGCAGCAGGTACTGAGCAGCAGGTACTGAGCAGCCTGCCCCTGAGCAGCAGGTACTGAGCAGCAGGTACTGAGCAGCCTGCCCCTGAGCAGCAGGTACTGAGCAGCAGGTACTGAGCAGCCTGCCCCTGAGCAGCAGGTACTGAGCAGCAGGTACTGAGCAGCCTGCCCCTGAGCAGCAGGTACTGAGCAGCAGGTACTGAGCAGCCTGCCCCTGAGCAGCAGGTACTGAGCAGCAGGTACTGAGCAGCCTGCCCCTGAGCAGCAGGTACTGAGCAGCAGGTACTGAGCAGCCTGCCCCTGAGCAGCAGGTACTGAGCAGCAGGTACTGAGCAGCCTGCCCCTGAGCAGCAGGTACTGAGCAGCAGGTACTGAGCAGCCTGCCCCTGAGCAGCAGGTACTGAGCAGCAGGTACTGAGCAGCCTGCCCCTGAGCAGCAGGTACTGAGCAGCAGGTACTGAGCAGCCTGCCCCTGAGCAGCAGGTACTGAGCAGCAGGTACTGAGCAGCCTGCCCCTGAGCAGCAGGTACTGAGCAGCAGGCACTGAGCAGCCTGGCACTGAGCAGCAGGCACAGAGCAGCCTGGCACAGAGCAGCCATGGCACAGAGCAGCCTGGCACTGAGCAGCTGTGGCACTGAGCAGCCTGGCACTGAGCAGCCGTGGCGTAGAGCAGCCGTGGCATAGAGCAGCCTGGCACTGAGCAGCTGTGGCGTAGAGCAGCCTGGCACAGAGCAGCTGTGGCACAGAGCAGCCTGGCCCAGAGCAGCCGTGGCCCAGAGCAGCCTGGCACAGAGCAGCCTGGCACAGAGCAGCCTGGCACTGAGCAGCCTGGCACTGAGCAGCAGGCATTCAGTGGCCAGGTCGTGGACCGGTCCTTCCACGGTGACTGGGAGGTGACAGGAAGCACCCACTGTGCGCCTGCTGATGACGTGCTCAGATGCCTGTGTGGAACCGGCACACCTCCCTTGGGCTGGGCCGCGGGCAGGGCGGGCAGGCATGCAGGCCTGGGCT